TTTGAGATTAACCATCAACCTCGGGAACTATTTGCATTATCGTGAATTTCGTCGTTCGTTACATACCAAGCAATAACGAAGTGGTGTTTTGTCGCGGAGCGTTATGGTTCTGAGATTCTCGATGGGATCGTTTTTGCTTACTGAGCAGAAAATCATGGGTTTAATCCTAAGCTCTCCGTCATGACTCTTAAAATCCATGATCACTAAACGAAATGAATATTTTCTTTCGATAGTCGGCTATCGAGATATTAAATGAGCAACACATAAGCAATATATAATTTTGTTTGCATCGCCAACTTTAGGCGAATCCTAACCGAATACCCTTCCCAACCCTCCAACTCTGCAGCACTTATGAAGGTCGCTAAGTCGGTGGCCTCTCGTAAGTACTACATCAACATTTCCTTCCCTATCCCTAGTTATGGTAAAGATGGGCGTGGCTGGTAATAGCGACAGTCATGCTTCTGGTATTCTTGTTAAGATTGGAATCAATGTTTACTCCCTACCATTATTCTTGAAAGTAGTCCTACTGAGAATTTCAAAAGAGTTGTGAGTGTCGCTAGTATACCTTTCAATGCAATCAACTGCCTTTCCCTCCGACACTTGAAATACAAGCTATCATAGTACAGTACTAAATTAAAATTTGATATGACAGGCTCTGTCATACGACACTGTCGCCGAAGACCGTCACGAATGTATGTATTTGTTTTCTCGAGTTTTTTTTTTTTGGATTTTGTTTATTTGATTTTAATAAATCAAATTACATTACATTACATTAAGTAAACTTACAATAATTATTATTCTGCATCTTCGAAATAAAATATAATGGAAACTACTTAATAACCATTCGATTTCCGTATAATGAAAATTTAAAATAAAAAGCTTAAAATTTAAGTAGCTTTATTTTTATGTTTGTTTGAGTGTTTAACAGCGGTTTAATGACAAGATGGCTTCGTTTTTTGTAAATGCGGACCATTCAACGAGGCGACTCAGTTGTAAGAGCAGAAAGGCTTCAGATGCCGAATGAGAGAGAAAGTGATAGTTAGCTTTATTTTTCCGGATTTTTTAGTATTCGATGGGATGTCCGTTTGTTTTGTCCGTTTTGCTGAACACAGTTACACACATTCAACTGTTTGCGCAACTCGCTACCCAATCAGAATGTTGTATGTGCGTAAATAAACCGCTCACCTCTACCGCAAGTCCAAAAAGTCAGCAAGTGAGAACACCTATCTTGGCTTAATTTTTGTGAATACAAACCATTTAACGAGCCGAGTTAGTTGTGTGAGCAGAAAGGCTTACATATTGTTTGGATGTGGTTTTCAACAAATTCAGTTTTTGATAAATTTACGACCTTTTTGGTTTTCGGCCTTTTGTGGTACCTTAGAATATTTTCGGCCTTTTGTGATTCGGCCTTCTGTACGGGTCTCGTGTCAAGTGTCCTCCGTCATATCCGCAGACGAACTGACACAATATTTACTGATACGAACTTTTATAACCTCGCGCAATCAGTTCGTCTCTCTGTTCTCTCGATATCCATAGCTAGCGAGTACGTAATTGGTTGATCAATTTTCAATAGTAAACTATTGATAAACAACAATCATCTTCATACCAAACAAGCTGAATCAAATGGTGTAATTAAAATTGAAATTCATTCTTAAATGACCATGTCATAAGCGTTTAAAACCTGAGACTATTTCGTCACACATTTTTTTTATTTAAACGCCAGTAGAGTACACTAAGACGTAGTCGCGCGCGTATTCAAAAAAATATTTACCTTGTATGAAGGGCGCAAAGGGTAATTCTAAATGAATAGTCAGTTCCAAATTTACCATGACATTACTGGGTTGCGGTCTTCATCAACGCTGTTCAGATGTGAGATGCATAAGGTGAACAGTTGAGTTCAAAATTCGTCTTCCAGGTGACACTAATAAATTATTTGCTTAACTTGACATCTTGACTAGATATAAGGTTTCTGTCTTTGGAACAGTTTTTCAAGTGAAAGAGACTAATTGGATGGTGTACATCACAAATCACATACTTTTTAACTTCTTATTGCTAGTATACCATTTCACTTCTTATTGCTTTAACTTGCTACTTCGATTACAGGGCTGGTAGCGATCAATGCTGTCAAAAATAGTGATTTTAGTGACCACGTTGAAGAAATAAGTGACTAAATAGTTGCTTATATGACCTAAGGGAAGAAAATTAATCGTTCAGATGGCATACCAAATAAATGTTTGATGTTTTAGACTTATTCAATTAGAATCTCATAAACACTTAAATATGTACGATAGGAACCTTTAAAGCGAAAGATTCAATAGAAAGTTTATGACTAAACCTCCAAGTGTCTCTTACCTGTAAAAACCTGAAAAACCGGGTTTTCTCAGGTAATTTTATTTCTGCTGAAAATACGTGGAAGTCTAAGGGAATCTTATCATTACTCAAAAAATTTAATAATTTTCTTACTAAGGATATTGCAAAGAAAAGAATGCATTTTAAAATAAAAACATTTAATATTCCTAGTTATTTTCATTCACAAGTTGAACTTTACAGACCTAAAATGGATTGATCTTCAGTAACAAATAAATTTAAAAAATTCAGAGGCTTCGAATGATTTGTTTTTTTTTGGTTCTAGAACATGCATACTTCCCACAAATTTTATAAATTCTGAACTTAGTCAAATTCCTCGCACAGTTTTAAAGCTCATGGAATTTTATAACAATGTTCAAGGACCTCATTTCACGGGAGTTCTGCGAAAAAATCTATGATAAAAATATCAAGTGCAATCTGCTTTCAAATACTGAAAAAAAAAATCCATTTGAGACCTACACTGAAAAATAAACGATTTTTAAAATTTAAAGTCGATTAAAAAAATGGCCATGTTTGATTCGGATGAAACTTTGCCTCAAGATTGGTAATTATGTTTACTACCATCCTTCCATACATCGCGAGATGGGCACTTTTAAGGAAAAAAAAGTTTTTCTTACAAAAACTTTTTCATGTCTGAACTGATTTTTTTAACGTACCATTTTCACACAAAACTAAACCAGTGAAGCTCAAAGTCATCTCAGAACCCAATGAAGCTCAATTTTTGATTCAATTAATCAGCAACTAATCACTTGGATTAATCGAGAATTCCATATGAAAAGGGCTTAAAAGGCTAATTAGAAAATAATATAATTGATTATATTGTCTACTACTGATGCAAAATCCAAACTTAGCATTCTTAGCTAAAGTTAGCCATAAAGAATTAGGTATGAATAAAATTTAAATTGAGATCTTCTTTCGTATCAACAACGATTTGGGAAGTCAACCTATCGCATCATAATTATATATGCCCTTCTGTTATTTATACCTAAACCATTAACATTATATACCTACCACTTTATTCTACCTATGAGCACTATAAAACTAAGGTTGATTTCATAACGAAAGTTGCGAAGACAAGTTTTAGTAATAATTTTATCATGGACCAAAGTAGTAAATTAAGGCTCAAAGGATTGAAATGTTGTTCAAATATAAATAATCCGTGATGCAACTGAAATAAGTTACGGGCCATATCGTCAACGATGGTAGAAAAATACATTCTATGGGATATAACCACAAAATTGAAACGATGAGCATATGTGAGTCATACCGTAGCGTGGTATCTTATAATAGAAGTCCAGTTATGAAAAAACGCCGATCGGTTGGAAATGAAGTAAATATCCAACCGTCAACTAGTGGGCAGCAGCATATTAATGATCCAGGTCCATCCTTTTTAATATGAAATTTTCGATTAATCAGAGGGAAATTAAGTGCTGATTGGAAACAAAATAATCGCAAATTGAGCTTTGTTGGATTCTGAGATGACTTTGAGCTTCACTGGTTTAGTTTTGTCTGAAAATGGCAAATTAAAAAAAATCAGTTCAGACATGAAAAAGTTTTTGTTAGAAATGTTTTTTTCCTTTAAAGTGCCCATCTCGCGATGCATGGACGGTTGGTAGTAAACATAATTACCTATTTTGAAACAAAGTTTCATCCAAATCAAACATTCCATTTTTTTTAAATCGACTTCAAATTTTAAAAATTGATTTTTTTTTCAATGTTATTTTTTTTTTCAGTATTTTTTTTTTCGATAATTTGGACAATTTTCTAAAAGTCATCCATACAACACATGTTTGTAGTTGTCATTTTTCCATAATATTTTTTTGAAAAAAAATCGGCAAAAAAAGTTTGGCCCTTCTCAAAGGTTAGTCTAGATAAATTTTGAAAAAAAAACTAAGTATGTGCAAAGTGGCTTATTTAGTCAAAGTCCACACATCCAGAAAGTTTCATTGAAATCTGAGAGGGTGCTGCCAGCTCCGAATACGATTTGGTGCGAAATGGGTCACAGGTAAGCTCTTTTATAACCGGTTGTCTCTCTGTTCCCGCGATAGTTATAGCAAGCGAGCACGTGATTGGTTAATAGCGGCCTAAAAGTTTGATAAATTGTCAATAGTTAATAATGATAAATTACTATTATCTTTATACCAAACATATCTTACATCAACTCTGAATCAAAGGGTGTGAAAATAATTTAAAACCATTAATGCAGCGTTTAAAACATAACAGTGGCTCGTTACACAATTTTTTGATTTGCATTTTGACACGCAGGTATAGAAAACCTGTTTAAAATACTTAACTTCTAAGGCACGAACAATGCAAACACACTTATGTATATATCATACCTAATAAGGTTGGTAAGTTACAGTAGTAGCTGGAGCACCTAGGTTAAAACATGAATATAGCGGCAGGAGGGACATAGTGACAGGTGCGGCATATTGCGCATCCTGTCCATTAAATTTCTAATTGTTCAAAACAAATTAATTGGTAGTAGATTCAATATCAATATGTTAATTAATTTGTTTTGAATAATCCAAAATTTAAAGCAAAAGTACAGGATGCTCACCATGCCTTATTTGTTTACTATGACCCTACCTCGAAATTGATTTGAATTTAGAATAGAGTAAAAAAGTGCTTACCTCGAGTTGTTTTGATTTGATAACCGCTGCGTTAGCGAAGTCATTTGTTGATCTGAGGTTTTACTCTTTATGCAGAATGCACCAGAGCAAGGTTGTTGAATTCCGTTGATTTGAATTTCATGCGTACAACTGCAAGACCGATCAACACCTGATGGTGTGCTATTGCCAGTACTGGTACTGTTGTGCTCATTTTTCTCCCGCTGATTGTGGTGTGTGGTCTTTTCCTTCGCCTTATCTCGACGATGCCCACTGCTACCTCGTTTCGATCCCTGTTGCGACTGCTGTTGTATAGTTGAGCTGGCCACTTGTGCTTGGGACTGCGATTGTGACGAGTGTTTCTTGTTGCTCGAGTTGGAACTACTGTTGCTATTACCATTATTTTCATCCGCAGATGACGATAGTGAACTTGTACCGTTTTGTTCAGCTTTCACGATTTCATGCTTAGCTTCCGACGTTTTCGTGCCAGGCTTAGTACGTTTAATCTTCATCTTTAATCCTTTGTCAAGCGTAGCTTGATGATCTACAGCTAATTTAGTGGCTGATTTACCACCCGAACTATTGTTCGTGGAGGACATGTTGCTTAACCTGCTACTAAAAGTACTGGAACTGTGCTTATGTTTCAATCCAGATGTTTCAAAGGGTGAAGAGTTGGAATTTCTTATGCTGTTTAGTTGACTGAGTAGCACAGAATGTTTTGATAGGTTAGTTGTGTGTTGATTCCTAGAATCTACGCTGCTGTTCGATTTGTGATGGTGATGATGATGATGGTAGTGATGATGAAGATGATGTCCAGAAGCAAACGAAGTCACCGATGGTAAGGAGGAAGAAGAGGAAGAGGAAGAGGAGGAGTGATGCTTGGATGGTGTTGAAGACGTGGTTCCTCCTTTCACAGACGTAGCTTTCGAAATCAGGAGTTTTGCACTATTAGGTGGAAGATCTTCTTTCACTGCACTTGCTCCTAAAGAATCACAATCTTTTGATGGAATTGGTGACGAAAGTGCGTTTTGTGATTTCTTTAGGCTCGCTTTATTGCTGTCACTACCAAGTACGTCGAGAGAACCTACAGATGGAAGTGACGGTAAGATTGGTTCCGACGTTGGTTGCGAAGAATTTTCACCAATCAATATTGTTCCTGATTGTATTTCTTGCTGTTGGTTGTTAACTGATGATTTCTCTATATCTGCGTCTAGATCAATGATCAGATCACCTATACCAACATCCCACTCGTTATCGTCGTACTCAAAGTTGGAATCTTTGTGGATATCACTGGTTGTTGACGTCGATGAAGTTGACGTGTTTGGCAGCGTGGATTCTTGATTCAAGGACGCCGTTTGGTGTTGCTGCTTATTACTTACAGTGTTATTGTTAAAATTACTACCGCTACAATTTATTTTGCTATTGCTGTCTGTTCCTTGGTTTGTTAAAACCACCTTGTTTTGGTGGTGGCTGCTGTTTGCCTCGCTGCGTTTCATTGAATCCATGCAGAAAAAGCGAGAAGGGCCTCCGCTGCTGGCGGGCCCTCGAAAGACGTTAGTTTTTCTTCGCTAAAGTTTAAAAACAATGACGAAGAAAAATCAAAACGCATTAACGAGACCTTGGCTGCAATTTCTGGTAGTGGTTGAATTTGATTCTTGTTGCAAATGTTGGATAAAATGGCAATTTGGTTGCTGTATCCAGATGCTACATCGGTTCTGTTGTTCTCATATACGTCACGGCGGGAGACGAAGGGCCCCGGCCCCTGGGCCAAAAAGACCATTTTAAGCTATAATGACAAAGAGAGAAAATAGTGCTGTTATGAAACACAAACCAATGAAAACTAAATGATTCATATGTAATAGTTTACATAGGTACTAAACAACAGCTGTATTTTTATCCAGCTTCAAAATTCTACTATATAAGTATTATTATTATTGCCCCATTAGAGTGGCAAACGCTTCATCCTAGAATGATGTTTTGGGGGGTCAGAAACACCCCATCGAAATTTGAAGCCGTCCGATCCACGAGAAGGGGTCCTGCAAAGAGCTTGAGTTTGTATGGGAAAAATGTATGGGGAAATGAGGCCCTTTTACATGATGCCTCTTGGTGGCGCTATACGCATTTGATTTTCTTCGTGTGAAAAGTGAAGAACAGGGTATCGGGAATAACTCTGAAAAGTTATTAGCGTTTGAAATTAACAACACCCGCCTTGCTTATGGCGAGGGTCTAACGCAACAAGCACGGTTTTCTTTTAGATCAGGCTTAGAAACAGCAATGTTCGCATCGGAATAACCTAGTTTTGCCATGGAATTGGTTGGAATTTTCATAGTTAGTAGAAAAATGTGCTATGGTCTATTGAAACCAGAATAAGATTGACCCAGAGGTTCCGGTTTTTTAGCTCTTTATTTGTTCTAAATTCAAAATAAGTTGAATTTCATTTTAACCAAGGTGCTCCAATTACTACAGTAACTTACCAGCCTTAATTGTTATGATGTATCTAAGTGTTTTTACATTGTTCCTGCCTTGGCAATTCAGTATTTTAAACAGGTTTTATAAACCTGCATGTCAGTATAACAATTGAAATCTTAAAACTAAAAAATAAAACTAAATCTTATTTTCGTATAAAGGGAATTAATCGTTGCAATTGAGGATTGCAACGATTTTTGCCTGAAATTATTAATTATTTTGTTGGACATTTGTTCTAAAGTCTCAACATTCGAAATTCTATGTACTTCGGTAGTACACTGGAGTCGCTTTTTACGCGGGTGATACGTCCCGCGTAAAAAAAACCGCGTAAATTCCGGAATCCGCGTAAAAAAAACCGCGTAAATTCCGAAATCCGCGTAAAAAAAACCCAAGTAAAAAAAGACCGTGTAAGAAAAAACCGCGTAAAAAGCGATATACCGCGTAAATTCTGAAAACCGCGTAAAAAAAAACCAAAATCCGCGTAAAAAAAAAACCGCGTAAATTCCGGAATCCGCGTAAAAAAAAAACCGCGTAAATTCCGAAATCCGCGTAAAAAAAAAACCGCGTAAAAAACCGTGTAAAAAAAACCGCGTAAAAAGCGACTCCAGTGTACTGTACTGCCGCTCTTCGCATGTTCGTCCCATACCGAAAATCGCGTTTCAAGTTTGCTTCGTACCATTGCTTCTTATGTGATGGGACATCCAGTGTTATGAAAATATTGGTAATTAGCTACCATTTGCATTGAAAAACTCAGTTTTGACGAAAATGACTATGGGACCGACATGCGAAGAGCGGCAGTGTACCAGGGAGACAACTTCAAAATCATCTCCAGAACTTTGTTCTGAATCCTTTGAAGTGCTTTTTTCCTGGTAGTGCAACAACTAGACCATATTGGCACAGCGTAAAGCATGGCTGGTCTAAAAACTTGTTTAAATATTAGAAGTTTATTCGTCAGGCAAAGTTTGGATTTCCTGTTTATAAGAGGATACAAACATTTTATATATTTGTTACATTTGGCATGAATGCTCTCAATGTGATCTTTAAAAGTTAATTTTTGGTCAAGTACACGCTAACTTGAAAGTACTCATTAATGAGTAAAAAAAGACCCATTTTGAAGAAAAGTGGCTTAACTCATTAATGATTAAACAATTTTACCCATTAATGAGTATCTGTTACCCATTAATGATTAACAATTACTCATTAATGGGTTACAGATACTCATTAATGGGTAAAAAGTTTACTCATTTAATGAGTTAAGCCACTTTTCTTCAAAATGGGTCTTTTTCAACCATTAATGGGTACTTTCAAGTTAGCGTGTATTAATCCAAGATATTTCACTTGGTTTGACCAGGAAATTGGAACCAACGTTGGAACTCCGTTCATAGTGACTATGTGATTACTACTAGGTTTCAAAAAGGAAGCTCTAGGCTCATGTGGAAATATTATAAGTTGAGTTTGGGAAGCGTTGGGAGAAATCTTCCATTTTTGTAAATAAGAAGAGACAATATCTAAACTTTTCTGCAGTCTGCTGCAAATAACACGAAGACTTCTTCCTTTAGCGGAAATGCCTGTGTCATCAGCGAACAAAGATTTGTGGCAACCCTGAGGCAAATCAGGGAGGTCCGAAGTGAAAATGTTATACAATATAGGCCCAAGAATGCTACCTTGAGGAACTCCTGCTCTAACAGGTAGTCGATCAGATTTGGAATTTTGATAATTTACCTGCAGAGTTCTGTCAGTTAAATAATTTTGAACTAATTTCATAATATAAAGTGGAAAATTAAACTTTTTCAATTTAGCAATCAAACCTTCATCCCAAACACTGTCGAATGCTTTTTATATGTCTAGAAGAGCAACTCCAGTTGAGTGGCCTTCAGATTTGTTGTGCGAATTAAATTGGTAACTCTTAAGAGTTGATGAGTAGTTGAATGCCCATGGCGAAATCCAAACTGCTCATCTGCAAAAGTTGAGTTCGTATTGATGTGAAGCATCATTCTACTTAAAATTATCTTTTCAAAAAGTTTACTTATTGAAGAAAGCAAACTTATTGGACGGTAGCTAGAAGCTTCAGCTGGATTTTTATCCGATTTCAAAATTGGAACAACTTTTGCATTTTTCCATTTATCAGGAAAGTATGCCAAATGGAAACATCTGTTAAATAATTTTACCAAGAAAGACAAGGTACTTTCTGGGAGTTTTTTGATGAGGATATAGAAAATTTCATCGTCACCTGGAGCTTTCATATTATGAAACTTTTTAGTTATAGACCTTACTTCATCCAAATCAGTCCCCCAGGAATCATCAAAAATATTTTCCCGAGAGAAAATATTCAAATAATCCCGAGCAACCTGATTCTCAATAGGACTAGTAAGACCCAAACTGAAATTATGGGAATTTTCGAATTGCTTAGCAAGACTCTGAGCTTTTTCCAAACTTGTGATCAAAATTTTACCACCTTCTTTAAGCGCTGCAATAGGCTTTTCAGGTTTTTTTCAAAATTTTTGTGAGTTTCCAAAAGGGTTTGGAACTCGGGTCTAATTAAGAAACATTATTTTCAAAAGTTTTGTTCCTCGCTTTTTAATTTGTTTTTGCAAAGCCCGCCAGATAACTTTCATGGCAGGATCGCGTGTTCTGGTTTTAAATTTTTAGTGTGGCCCACCGGATGATCCGGAACGTCCGCAAAATAAGATACGTCGAATATTTGATCAAAGTATGCCTTGATCGCATATCTGCAACTATATGGAATGTAGTAAAATTGTATTTTTACCCTTCTTATAAAGAAGGGTATAGATATCACTTGAAAAACCGACTATCGATCCGATTCCCGGAGGGCCGAGTGTCATATACCATTCGACTCAGCTCGACGAGATCGGAACATGTCCGTGTGTGTGTGTGTGTGTGTACGTGTGTATGTGTGTGTGTATGTAACGAAATGAATGCGCTCACGTTTCTCAGCAACCGCTCAACCGATTTGGACAAACTCGGCGCCAAATGATAGGTCTTGGGGTTCCATTGAACGCTATTGAACGGTTTTGGAATCGGTGAACCGGTTCCGGAGATATGGCCGGAATAAGATCCGGTGAATATGGGCCTTCACGCTGGATTTAACGGAAAACGTATCAAAACCATCATGCGACACATCAAATTACTACAGAATTCAAAAATAAGATCAATGAAAGTCGTGTTAAGTGTTCCAGACCACATTGGACACACTTGGACATGTTCCAGGTACCCCGGGGAAGTTGCTTGAATATGAATTGAATTAAAACCCATTAAATCACATTAAAATACGATGATAAGGTGATTGGTAGCCTCACCAAATAGACTACACCCGGATATATTCCGGGTACCCCCAGGCAGTGGCGTAGCGTCACTGGATGACACGGGGGTGGGGGGCTTGGTCACTGATAATGACAATAAAATAAATAAACTTGAATAAGTAAGAAGGGTCTGATCACACCATAGGTGGATAAATTCGGGTTTTTTATGTATCGTTCGATATATATATAAATAAATAAACAAATAAATAAATAAAATAAATAAATAAAATTGTGATTTTTATATACCAACATGGTTATTGGCTCTGATTGGACACTAAGACTGGCCCACATTTACATGGGGGAAATTTTTTATCATTTTTTTCAACGGGCCAACCCCTAGATTTGTGCCGTTAGGTGAGAAAACCGCAGCTCATTCGGATTTAACACGAGCTCGCGCTTTTGATTTAAAATTGAATGTATGGAGAAATAATATTCCTTCACTCTTTCGGGCATAGAACTGGTTCAGCAAACTGGATTTAACTCATAATTCCAGCACACGTAGCTAAGACTATAAGGAACAACTTTGCTGAAGCCAGCATCACGATTCAAGTTAGTATTATGGAGATATTAATTAATTATTTGCATTCTGCTCGTATATTGCAACAAAATACAAGCTGCCTGTATTCAACAACGTATCAACTAGATTTAGTGATACAAAATATCATGACACTCACTCGAAACTCATCAACGCATCAACCGACTATCGCTGACAGAACGTTTTGTCACGCAGTGAGAGGTAGAGCCAAGGCAAACAACAATCACCAGTAATGGGCGCTGCTCACAGGCAAAATGTAACACTCGCTGCTGATGATGTACAGCACAACGAAAACAGTGAAGTACGATCATGAGAAAAAGCGAAACGACAAAAGAAAATGAAAACAATGCCTACAAACAAAAATGGCAAAATTGAACGGAAGCTGTTGGGCTCACTCACATAAGCAAGCAAAGCAACAACTGCTTCAAAACGAGCACAGATGAGTGTCGTGATTGTCGGGAACAA